TCGAATATTGTTTATTGAATGCAACAATTGCTATATTAATTGGCCACAACAATTATCAAGTTTCGAACTGACACAGTACTACTCTTCAGGTGCCTTTGTAGTACGCACGGCTTCTCTTGTCTCATTATAAAGCGCGGATAATGCTCCTACAACTTGATCACTTCACCGGAGACACGTTCTATTTTTATGTATTCTTCCTGCAACTATCGCTTCAAGCGTATTTTTGCTGTAGCAATATTATTAGTTCTCACGACATGACCAAGCCATGGAAGTCGTTGAATGTTAACTCATTGTATGACATCAATGTCAGCTTACGCTAACATTCCGTATTCCGTCATTAATTCGTATTGAACTAAATATCTTTGCAAGAACTTTTTTCTGGAAAACTTAGGGCGTAAGTTTCGTCGATGGAGAGAGAGAAACATTCCAATAGCTTACTAAGCTCCAAGTATCACTTATTGACAATGACAATTATTTGGCTGATACCTTGGCCAATATTTCAATGATAAGTCAGTGAAAATAGCTGACAAAGCTTTAGGAGTGATAAAAAAAATTAACCTCGAAAGAAAGAGCGAAGAGGCACTATACTTGCCCGAACCTGGTTATTGGTGGATTTGTATCTTCTCTGTTGGAAAAATTTTTAAACATTTAAAATTCAAAAAATCTTCTGAATTCTTGGTATACGTAGCCAATTGCAGTCGATGGTTATTATTTATTGCAGATCATGGTTTCAAAACTGATGCAAGTGTTAGCCATAAAAGTTTTGGAAAGTACACTAAAGCTTTAGACAATCAAACGCTTCGAAAGAAGATTTAAACAAGATTTTGTACTGTCCTAATAACCATACTGGGCTACCTTCACCATTACTCGTTCTCCAGATTAAAATCAGTAAGAAATATTACTGTGGGATATGGGCATTTATCTGGCCAATTCTAGCACTGAAAGTTTTTGTTCTTTCAGAACATTTAGTGGCATAATTTTCACAAATTTTTTTTAAATATAATTATTTTTACTCTTACTTTTAATTTACTTATTAATACAGAAATGTATTTATTAATAAGTAGTTTAAATTAAAGAAATAAAATTTTTTTAATCGTTTGTAACAACAAAGAAGAAAAAAAGAAATGAAGGAAAAGATTTCTTTGCTCTCTTCTAAAAGAAAAACTTTTATGTTAAAAAAAGTAATCATTGTTTATTATTTTATTTTACATTCAAAAATATGATAGTTTCTGCAAATGATCCAAAAATCCAAATCAAAAAAAAGATCCAAATATGTAGAATGTATCTCACTTTAGAATTTAATGTTTTTGCTCATATCAACAGCTATTAATTAATATTCCTTTTTAGCATCAGAAGAACAATTTCCTTGCTGTGGACACTGATCCACATTACATCCAAACTTAATTTCATCAAAATCAGTACCACAACAAGCATTATGTCGGTGGGACAGAATGTATAATGTCCTAATGGAATCTGTTGACTTACTTGCAACAAATAGTGGCGTAAACGGTTAGACGTTACGGCTTTATTTCCAGCAACATCAAGGTCTTTACAACATATTGTACAAACAGAAGGTTCCTTGATTTGATTATCCTGCTGGCCACTGCACTTGTTATTTTCGGATGGTTGTGGATCTGTCACATCAACGTGAGTTAGCTTCTTGTATTGATCGATGCATGAGGCAGAAAATGACGAATACACTTTTAGTATGTCTTTGTCTCCTTTTCCAACACTTTCTTCTGTAATTTGTGCTTTTTTGGACTTATCATTACGTTTCCTGTTCGATTCCATATTTGAATCTATGATTATTCGAAACAAAAAAAAATTGAAACTAAAAAATATGAAATTTATTCAAGATATAGAAATATTTTATATTTTGGCTGTCCTACTAATAATCAAAAAAAATCAAATATTGACATTTATTGCTGAATAAAATTGCTTTACTTAAGTTACAAGGCACAGATAGCTGTGGCCCTCATGATCATATTTGAACCGACATATTGTTCTTTCTCTTAATCTCAATTTTATAATTTGCATTGAAAACAATAAGAATTTTACTCATGATGAGCCCATGACACTGTAAAGAACATGGCTCTAACCGAAAAATATGACATGGATGCCCTATTACTTTAATTCCTAAGCTGAAATTATGATGAAGTTGTTACAAGCTGTATTTTTTCTGAATCCTCCCTAATAGTGAAAAAGTATGGAATGTATTTGTGTGCATTTGGTTATGGTAGGCGAATATGTCCTATATTTAGATCCGGTCGTTTCTTGAACCTGTTTTGTATATTTTAATATTACCGAATTCCCTATATTTGGTGCTGTGCAATATTGCAATGAAATGTAACTAAAAAACTCCTTTAGATGAATTTCTATTTATTAAATTATTTCCGTTCTAATATCTTTAGGAATATTAATTTTTAATTAAGCCTTAATTATTATTATTATAATAATTAATTTTTATTATAATATTAATTTTTATTTAAAGGCTTTTATACGACTTTTAAGTCTGGCACTTGCAGTTCAAACAAATTATATTCGGACTATAAACTAATTAAAAATTCGATTACTTCCTAAGACCACTGATGATGAGTACTTGGCAATTCTCGAAACAGCGTTATATGGTCAGCCAAATTTTAATAAAATTAAATAAATTTTTGTGTTTGTCCTTTCTTTCTTTCTTTGCTATTCGAAAATCCTCTAAATTTGAATATAGCTTCAATATAACTCTGTAACCATATAAAGAAAGCGTAGCTTTTTCAGCAACACTAATACTTACTTCCTTAATTTTTATTATAATATTAATTATTATTATAATATTTAATTATTATTATAATTATTATATAATTAATATTGTTATAATATTAATTATAATTACAATATTAATTATTATTATAATAATTAATTTTTATTATAGGATTAATCATTATTATAACATTAATTATTATTAATATTATATTAATTATTTAATTATTAATATTAATTAGTAGTAATTGCTGCTTTTAATGTGACATACCCAATGCAGATTATTATTTTGAGGATACCTCGAAGTAATAGAGAGTAAAAGTGCTCTAGTGCACTGGCTCAAATAGCTTCAACATAACATAATAATTATTATTATAATATTAATTATTTAATTGATTATATTAATTATTATTACAATATTAATTATTAATATTAATTGAGAGTAATTGTTGCTTTTGATGTGACATACCCAATGCGGATTATTATAATTATATTAATTATTATTATAATAATAATTATTTAATTAATTATATTATATATTATTATAATATTAATTATTTAATTATTAATATTAATTAGAAGTAATTGTTGTTTTTGATATGACATACCCAATGCGGATTATTAAAATTATATTAATTATTATTAGAATATTAATTATTTAATTAATTATATTATATATTATTATACTATTAATTATTTTATTATTAATATTAATTAGAAGTAATTGTTGCTTTTGATATAACATACCCAATGCAGAAAAAAAAACCATTTTCATAAACAATTTGATTTTGCAATACACTTTATTTAAATTAATATATTCAATACTTTTTTAAACATTTATTTATAGTTTAAATATTACTTTTGATTATACATCAATATTTATCTTTATGTGGTTTTAAGTGGCTTATATCTAGAAACATTAATTTGACATAAATTTACTTGTTTTGTAGTTTAAACTGCAAATAGTTTTTGCATATATGTATATGAATTATTTTTATACATCAATATTTTTGTTTTGCATAATTACAAAAAAGACATCTACTTTTCTTTTGCATATTTATTATTTAATTTAATATTTATTATTTAATTTAATATTTATTATTTAATTTATTATATTCTTACGTACCTACTGATAATTTATAATTTTTTATATAATTAATATTTTTACTTCTTATGGCCGTAGGTTAAAATATTGGAAGAGCAAACCGTTTCGCTCTTAGAAAAATATTTGCAAAGGGTCTTTTAAAAACAGAATTAGATTTATTTAGTAATAATTTAATAATTGTATACTAATGTCAAAAATGTATAATTATTACTGTGAAACCCTTTTCTTAACAAGAAAATATGCTCTCCTACTCACTCTACTACGGCACTATCTGTGAAAACAGTTTTAAAGTGTACATATTTTTTTATATATATAAACACTATTTTTAATAGTATAATTAAACTTTGTTTATATATTTTTAAACAAATGAAAAATATATTATAAAATTAAGAATAATAGCTAAAGTACCAAATTACTATACATATATAAAGAACTTTAAAAAAAATTTTATTATGACAAAAACTGTTATTTATTTAATTTTTAAATGTTATTATAGGAATTATTTTATATGTATTTAAAATAATTTTAATTTAACAAAAATTTAACTTTCCAATATTTTATAGTTTATGTTTTTATTTATTTAAGTTTAAATTTAAACATTTTCAATATTAAATTTAATTTTATTGATTGAAATCTTAGCGTTAGCTTTTTTTAATTTTTTTTAATAATTAAATAAATTTATGTACATTTTTAAAAAATGAATTATTTTTCGTTAAGAAAAAAATTATTTCATATATGTGTAGACTTTTTTCAGTACAAAATGTTTATTTGCTCTATTTCAAAAATACAATATAACTTAAATTTGGTGTTCCTCTTCAAATATATATTTTTTAATGAATTGTCATTTTTGCAAATATTTTTCACTAATATAAATAATTTTCTTTAAATATTTCATTTATAAAATAAATGTTATTATATCACAGATAAATATGTGTTTGTATGCTTAAATGTATATAAAATTCCAAACAAAAATTATTATAATTTTGAATATTTTAAAAATCCACTCGGAAAATTTTTTTTAATTTAAAAATTTTATTTTTGTATGATTATTTTCAAGTAAATTTTTTTTCATGTTTGACTTAAAACTATAAAAACGCACTATTAATTGAAATTAATATAAGCACGAGAAATAAAATAAATTTTATATATATAATTTGAATAAAATATTAATAATATAGGCCACAACATACAATGCGTATTTCATATAACGTACATATAGTAGTATATATAAAAAATATCCGATTAAACAGAATGTCACAATAATATAAAATATATATAAACCTTACGTGCTAAATGACGAAGTTTGGTAATTTGTTCATTAACAAGTTTTACTATAAAATTTTCTCTTAAATTTTCTCTTACATATTCTGGCTGAGAGAATGAAGCTAACAAAGGTGACTTCAAGTACAGCGTATGACCTAACGATGCTTCAGTGGTGCAAATGCTTGCATGCTGTAATACCGATCGGTGTCATCTTTTGTGACACTGGTCACATGATGAAACTGACATGGATGGGAGATTTGTGACTTTGGTGGTAATGGTGCCGGCTTGACACGTTTTTGTTTCTGTTTCTTGCGTCCAGGAACGGAGAGTGCTATATTCTCCGGATCGCTGACCAACTTTTCAATATGTGCCCATAATTCGCGTGCTGATTCAGTCGAATCAAAACTGAAACCGATCAATTGTTGATGATTTGTGGACAAACACATTGTGTGGAATGATGGTCCGGCAACACGATAATTGGATAGATTATCAATGCGATCAGACCATAGAGCAAATGATGAACCACGTTCAGCTAGCACAAGTGTAACACGTGGTAGGGCCCGAGCACGTGCACTACCCTTATCATGTAACACCACCGGTATGCCTGTGAAAACAAGACGCCAATCACCATCTTTGCCAGTACCTTCATAGAGATTAGCCAATGAAGAGCTAACAAAGATTTCTGTACCAAGTCCACCAAAGAAACTTTCAACCTGACCGCGTTCGTAGTCGGAGAGATTTGTGTTGCTGCTGGTATCAATGCTTAATGTATCAGCATCAACATCGGAATTTATATACAACGAATTGACGTTGTTGGTGCGTGATTGTGTTGTCGATGTATGGTTTGACCAATCAGGATTCAAGACTAATTCATTATGCTCTGATGAGGTGCCTTCTGATGATTCCGATGGTGGTGCGGAATCACCAACAGAGCCTAAACGGCGACGTGGTGGCATGTGAGACATCTGTAAGTAAGAAGAAGAAAGAAAATATTTAACAAATATATATATATTTTATGTTTTTTAAATTACTGTATAACAGAAAACTAATTTATTTAAAGGAAACTAGCTTACTTTAACTATTAGTTAGTGAACAAATATAAAGCCAAACTTAGTTGGATCAATTTTTTATATAAAACCTATTAAAAATGTTCATAGGTCATATGACTTAAAATATTTTTTTCGCTATTTGAACAGTTTTTAAAACTTAACATACCCATCTTACAATTATAATACATATTTGACATATGTAGACAAATTCAGGGGTTTGATTTATGAATGTGCGTTTCTATATAAATGTAAACAATAAATGTTTTGTATGATATTTGTAATTCTATTCATATTAATTAAAGCACTTATGGTGTGATCCTCTCGCAAATTGATTTGATATGATGGACCCGAGCTTCATTATTCACCTCTGACATCGTGCCTTATTAAATGCCGGAGAGAAATTTACGAAAACTGTTAAACTGTTATTATTTATAGTAATAATTATTAATTATAATTATTAAAAAAAATAATTAATTATAATTATTATAACTGCTTTTATTTACAATAATTATTATTAATTATAATTATTAATGATAATTATTAGATATAATAAGTAATTATAATTATTAATTACAATTATTATTTAAAATTATTAATGATAATTATTAATTATAATTATTAACAATGATTAATAATTATGATTATTATTTATAATTATAATAATGAATGATACTTATTAACTATAGTAATTAATTATAATTATTATAATTACATTATTATTATTAATTTCATAATTTTATAATAATTTTATAATTATTACATATTAATTATAATTATCAATTATGATTATTGTAATTATTAGTCACGATTATTGTTTATAAGTATAATTGTTAATGATAATTATTAATTATTAATAGTAATTTTTAATTGTAATTATTAATTATTATTGGTAATTATAAATTACTATATAATTATTATTTATAGTTACAACTACAACTATATTTATAATTAGTTAAATTATAATTATTATAATTAATTAAAGTGTAGTTATTATAATTAATTAAATTATGATTATTATAATCAAATATAATTATAATAATTATAATTATAACTAATTATTATATAGTTATAACTATAATTATTATAAATAATTACAATTATAATTATTATATAATTATTAGTGATCATTTTAACTATGATTATAATAAATAATAATAATTATTATTAATTGTAATTATAAAATTGAATATAATTATTAATTATAACTGTTATTTTATAATTATTATTTATAATTATTATTTATGATTATTATATTTATAATTATTATAACTATTAATTGTAATTATTATTATTGTTTATAATCATTAATTAATTATAATTAATTAATTAATTATTAATTAATTATTATTAATTAATTATAATTATATAATTATCATTAATTATTATACTATTATAATTACTAATAATTATTATAATTATTAATTAAAGTTATTTTCACCAGTGACCTTCACAAGATTGGCACAGTCAGCAAATCCCTTGTTCCATAAACGGTAATAAAAGTCAATCAGTCACTAAAGAGGAAGGAGTATGAAGTTCGATTTTACGACGACTGATTTTTTTATTAAAAAAATGTATTTGTACTAATTTATATATATATATATATTTAAACTTCATACGTTACTAAATATCCTTGTACTTTCAATCAAATATGTTATTATTTTAATGTCTGCTATTAGTATAGGAGGAAAAAACTGAATGGTGGTTTTTAGTATTGTGTAAATATATTGCTTTGTTTTTTCCATTAAAGTTCACCTTGAACTTTGCAAATGTCTATAAATTTATATACACACATATATTGTGTAGATACAATTTCACTATCGAAATATACAAACCACTATACGGGTTTACTGATGCGAAAGATAATTTAGCTGACCTAAATATTCGTTTCTTACCATTAAATTGCACAGAACACTTCCTTTATCGTGAAGTCTATTTTCCTTCAATTTAATCAAATTGTATTGATTGCTGTAGTTTTTTTTCCTGTTAAATTTACTGCAGGAATTTTGCCAATATTTATATATAAAAATAAGTATGGTAGGTCTGTGTAATAGTTCTGATGTATATTTCAAATCGTAGTTGGTTGTAATCGATTTGCTGTTCATTGGCAATTAATTACAATTTGTGGCATTAACCGCAATAATCGTTCCCAAATCACTGCCATCAATAAGAATCAATTAAGTCGAAATGTGATTGAAACTAATTCGGATTATTCGGATGATTTCTTAAATTTCAATGAAAGCTTATGAGTTTTTTGTGATATTTCAACCAGAATTCATTAAGTGAGTAAAATAAAGTTTTGTTTTTTTTATGTTCTTTAGCAAAATTAAAATATGTTTAATTCAAAATTTAAATATTTATTATTAAATTGGACGAAATTACTTTCGACTACGAAGTCTGCTTTAATATTCCACGTGCGATACTAAAATGTAACTCATACGCAATGCATGACATTTACTTTCCATGTCGTTACAGGTTTTGCCGCGTTGGCATTGAACTTCAACGGACAAATAATTTTCCTATTCATGTCTAGTAAAAATGCCATTTGAATAAATAATTAGAAATTAATTGGAGATTTTAATGCGAATATTCGGTAAGACACACATGTTGAGTTTTTCGGTTTCAGGGACAAGTGCAAGGATAGTACTGTTCTGAGTTTTTAATGCACCTAAAATAAAATCAAAATTTAATATTCAAAAATATTAAATAATGTATGAAATTAGATTTTCAATGAACGATATGTGTGCTACTTAATCAGAACACGTATCTAGCGATTTTTAATAAAGTTAGTGCAAGAAATTCTTAAAATCGAACTCAGTTTAATGTGAATCTTACATTAGAATTTGATAGTCTTTACTTCAGGCAACTACACTTATTAAAATCTAAGCATCGTTCAGGAGATTGATTTTCTCATACTCAATAGAGATAATTACGCTCTACGATAAGTTTTATCGTATATCATAGTACGGTATACATCTTCACTGACGTCTCCAAAATAAACGGCTTCACAGAAGTACATCTACTATGACTATCGTATCATATCAGGTTGATTCAGACAAAAGCACTGGTAATTCACTATTCAACAAAATGAATCCTGGAAAATCCGATTTTCGATGTGAGCATTATAATTATCTCGCACAACTAAGCTGCAATCAAATCTGTAGTAAGAACAACAGCTATATTTTTTATAATCGTAGAATACCGTTTATCTGTCAAAGTCTTTACTCATTTGTGTAACTGGACGCAGAACCATCTCAGGCATTTGTGAGTGCATCTCAGGTTAACAGCGGCCAGATCATTTGAATAATGGGATACAATGACATTTTAGGCAATTATGAGTACACATCTGATTGTTGGTATTCAAATCATTTGAGTAACTGGACACAGTGATATTTCAGCCAATTGTGAGAGTATCTCAGGTTGTCAGCAGCCAACTCATTTTTACACTGAATATAGGAACATTTCGGATAACTACAAAGTAGGCAGGTATATCCAATCATACACATGCTACTACGAAATTTCTTGAAAGGGTTATGAACTATGTCACCATGTCATAGCATCCTTTGAGAATTATTGTGACAATAGATAGTTCTGTGTTAAAACTGTTTGAAACTCAAAATGTTTATTGAAAACATTTCCACTTACCGCTTTTTTAGTTTTTAATAGTATATATTGGATTGAATATATTTTGTACCCAATGATTAACACAAAAATATTAATTCAATAAAAAAGAAAATTTTATTATAATGCCTCTACAAACAGAATAGTATTCAAATATAACAATTAAAAACAAAATAAAAATATAATTAATTAATTCAATTATTCTACAGCTGGTTTATGATTTCATTCTAATATAAACACAGTAAGTGAATCCGTTAATAAAAACTTCACAGCAAAGTAACAAACTTCCGGAAAAATGTGCGAAGATAAAAGTCAAGTACAGCTTTGAATCAGTTGGTAAAGGAGAGCCGAATCTGAGCTTGAAATTTGGCAGGGCACGAGTTCGATTCCTGGTTCTTGCAATCTCAAAAAATTATTTACGAATAATAAAATACAAGAATTATTTCCAAAACCATTGATGATGGGTATTTGGCAATACTCGAAACAACTGTATGGTCAGCCAAAAATTCAATTAATTAAATAATATAAAAGAGTTTTTGTTGTTGTGTGTTAGTTCAGTACTGTTCGAAAAATTTCTTTATAAAAATATCAATAAATATATTATTACTTTAAATGAGTATTATTTCACTCCGGGGACAATTTAAATTGATAAGTTGCTGATAGGCTGTATGATAAATGCGTATAAGGAGGTATTGATAAGAAAATATATTTATGTTGTTATCATAGTTTCTTCTTAAATAACTTTTATTAGTTCCTTTATGTTTTTTATTAGTGCCTTTTTCTTTCTTTTTATGCAGTCGCTTTTTGTTTATTTACAAATCTTAGCTCTTTAAGGACTCTTCAAACTTCCTAATCGATGATATAATTTTTAATACAAAAAAAAGACCTTTTCATATAAGTTTTTGACTTAGATGCTAAGTGAAATTAATTTTTCTGTTGAAAGGTTAGTAAAAATTTTGTGAAAACATTGCATAAGCAAAAGTTGCAAATATACATTTAAGCAATCCTAGCAACACCCCAATAAATGGGGTGTCCACAAAGGAGAAAAGACATCAAAAACACATTAATAGCGAAAAGTATTTTGAAAGAAATTTTGTTTTTTAATACAATTTCTTATATGTTAGCATTTAATAGACAAAACCTAATCATATTGTAGTTGCCATTGCCTACAAACCTTAGAACAGCAAAAATAGGTCAAAAATTAGTTTCCCTAAAGTGAAAAAAAAATCTCAAAAATAAGGAATTACCTTGAATTGACAAATAAATAAAGTCAACAGGAAAACTTAACACAATACGGA